TTAAAAAGCCCTTCTTTAGGCACTACTTTTTCATCTTTCGTTATGTTAATCACTAAAAACTTCAAAGAACAGAAGATTGAACAGACTGCCGTCAGTAGGCATCATTTATGACTGGATGTTACATATGAGCACATGTGTGTGTACACGCATGTGCGCGCGCACACACACACACAGGGCCACAGACACACCACTGGGAGATTTAAGGCTGGAGAAAGAATCTGAGCGAGTGCCCGTCAGCCTGTCTCGCTAGGCATTCCCAGGTCACTCAATGTTAATGCCTCTCATGTCCAGATCTCTCAAGTGATGCCAAATGGGGAAAAGTACAAGAAACATCTATCATGTGGTGAATACAAGAGCCAAAACAAACACTTGCCCTTTGGGGGTTTCTCTTTTCTTGGACTGATGGCATCCATACATAGTTTTATTATCCAAGAAGAATCATAAAAAGGGGGATGCTATTTGGAGTTGTTACAGAGATGATTTTACTGTGCTCAAGTTTATTTTCTGGAGATGGTTGCATTTCAGGGACTGAGGGAGCTATATTGCTGCATTTATAACTACAAAATATATCAAGAAACTAGAAATAATTTTTAGAAGCATGATGCCCCAAACAGAAAGCAACCTAAAATCCACCACTGGTAATATGGGTAAATCAACTGTGGTTTATTCATATAATGAAGCAGATAGACTTGACCCTAAAACTGCTCATTTCAGCTATAGGTTATCACATTATCAGACAAGTCTCTGTATCTCTAAAAGGTTTGATATCAGATTTATCTGTGTAATTAAAAATGAAGTGATAATGAAAGGGTCCCCCACTGTTTTACAAAACAGTGTGGTGGTCCTTTGATTCCTGTGGTAATGACATGACAGGCCGCAAGAAATCCCATAGCTGCCTCACCGCCACTTGGACAGCTGTTCTGCTCACAATTCCAACGACAGTCGGCTAGAAACCAGGAAGTTGGGCAACACTATGCTCCCAGCACAGGAGAAGAAAAGGGTGAGTTACTGTGTTCCCCACCTCTGCCACCATTTAGACACGGGATCGTGTAAACCCTGCTTCACACGGAGCTAACCTCCACTACCAAACCAGGAGGGAACCTCACAATTCTTGATAATCAATCATTTTAAACAAGGTATACAACCCTTTTCCTTTAAAATTTAATAAGATATTTGATACAAAATATTTTTTTACATAAACATACATTATGAAGCAGATTAATAAAACAAATACTCTGAAGCCAACTTCAACTTATAAAATAGAATCTACAGAGTCTTTTGAAGTCCCTTTGTGAGGTCCTATAATCCCAACCCACTGTCTGCTCCCCACAGAGGTAACCACCACTCTGAAATCTGGCAGTTGTTACCTTTATCTTTCCTCCTTTTTATAAATACATGTGTGTCCCTAAAGAACAGCTTACTTAATTTTGCTTGTTTTCACTTGATTCTAGGATAGAACACACTTTAGGTTTTCTTCCTACCTTTCAGGTTATTCCACCTCAATTTCCTTGCTCTTCCAAATCTAGCATGCCCAGACACAGTCCTTAGACCTCTTTCCAGCTAAATTAATGGGTGATGACCAAGTATGATGGTTACAGACAGGTGCATACATGGTTTTATATGCCACCGATAAGTCCCTCTTCTGAGCTGACCTTCCGTATCTGACTGCATACTCAACATACTCACTGAATGTCTAATAAGCATCTCAAAATCAACTCATCCAAAACTGAGACTTCGATCTTCTCCAAAAATTTTTTTTTCTCCAAAAAATGGAAACTCCACTATCTTTTTTTTTAATTTTTAAATTTTACTTAAATCCAAGTTAGTTAACATGTAGTGTAATAATGGTTTCAGGAGTAGAATTTAGTGATTCATCACTTACATATAACACCTAGGGCACATCCCAACAGGTGCCCTCCTTAATGCCCATCCCCCATTTAGTCCATCCCCCCACCCAACAACCCTCAGAGTGTTCTCTGTATTTAAAAGTCTCTTCTGGTTTGCCTGTATCCTATCTTATTTTTTCTTCTGTGAGATTAGAGAGATTGTTTGGAAAAGTCTCATACTATATCCACGTGTCTTAATCTCTCAGCCTTCCACATGGAAATTATCCATACAAAAGGAAAAAAAAGGCTTTTCTTTAACTTCTGTTTCACTTTACTCAGATCTACTTTTCAGTTTGCAAATTCCCCCTTTGGCTGAATACCACTACTATTCAAGCCTTCCATCTTAATTTCTTTTTTGTTTTTAATTTTTAATGTTTATTTCTGAGACAGAGAGAGACAGAGCATGAGTGGGGGAGGGGCAGAGAGAGAGGGAGACACAGACTCAGAAGCAGGCTCCAGGCTCTGAGCTGTCAGCACAGAGCCCGATGCGGGGCTCGAACACACAAACCGTGAGATCGTGACCTGAGCCGAAGTCGGACCCTCAACCGACTGAGCCACTCATGCGCCCCCTTAATTTCAATTATTACATTTTGATTTCTAAAAATTCTATTTAGCTCTTTTAAGAATGTATCTGTTCATTTTTTTGATAGCTTTTTTCTTATATGTGTTTTAAATAACTTTTTTATATCTTTAAGTGTATCAAAACTTTTTGTATTATGGACTTGAAAATTTAATATTGACGCCTTTGCAGATGTGTGTTTGTTTTTTTTTTTCTGTTGACTAGCAACTAGTGTTGGTTTATTTTCTGTTCTCTGTGATTTAAATTTTTTTTTAATGTTTATTTTTGAGAGAGAGAGAGAGGAGAGAGAGAGAGAGAGTGTGTGTGTGTGTGTGTGTGTGTGTGAGCGGGGGAGGGGCAGAGAGCGAGAGAAAGACACAGAATCTGAAGAGGCTCCAGGATCTGAGCTGTTAGCACAGAGCCTGATGCGGGGCTCGAACTCACAAGCTGTGAGCTCATGACCTGAGCTGAAGTTGGATGCTTAATCCACTGAGCCACCCAGGCGCCCCCCGCTTTTTTTTTAAAAAATCTTTAAAACTTCTCTGTGATTTTAGATTGTGAGTTTAAATTAGCTGCCCCTCTACCGCCGGGGGGGGGGGGGTCTTTTAAGGACTGGACTAAGGGTACCTTTCTCAAAGGATGATTTTTGTTTGCTTTTGTCAGGCAATGAGCATTCCTGTAATGAATCCTTTTAAAATACAAATAAGCAACACAAACTATGCAAGTACTGTAGATTCAGGTACTAAACCATGTGAATGGTAGCCAGTGGCTATTAATTTTCAAGAAAACCTTAAAAAAACCAAAACAACTCGAGACTAGCCAAGGCTGAAAATGACTATTTGCATCTTCAATTTTTGTTTTGTTTTATTTTAGTTCACTATTTGTAAAAGGATGTTGCCTTTCAGGGATCCTGGTTTTATGTGAGGTGAACTCTTGATTTGTGTCCCAATTATCCACAGGCCCAAAGTTTTATACACATTCTCTAGGCTGCAATGATCAGTATAGTCTCCCAGATTTTGCAAGTTTCCAAGCTTCTCTAGAGATAAAAGTTTTAGCAAGCATCACAATCACCCAGAGGATTTTCTAGAACACAGATTGCACGGTCTTTGCCACAGTCACTCTGCTGTTGTAGCACAAGAGCAGCTACAGATAAGACATAAACAAATGTGTGTAGTTGTGTTCCAATAAGACTTTATTTACAAAAATATACATCAGGCCAGGTTTGGCCTGGGGCCATAGTTTGCTGACCCCTGTTCTTGATGGATGTCCCTACTCTGTTCCTGGTCACAAGGGGTTTGCTTTCTTGCAGGCACAGCTAGTCATTTAAAAAGGTTTAAAAAGGGGTGTCTGGGTGGCTTAGTTCGTTTAAGCGTCCCACTCATGATCTCAGGGTTTGTGAGTTCTAGCCCGGTGTTGGGCTATGGGTGGGGCTATGCACTAACAGTGTGGAGCCTGCTTGGGATTCTCTCTCCCTCTTTCTCTGCCCATCTCTCTCTGTCTGTCCCTCTCCCCACCTCCTCCCTTCCACACTTGTGTGCACATGTGTTTTCTCTCTCTCTCAAAATAAATGAATAAACTTAAATTTTTTTCTAAAGGTAAAAGGGTTTAAAATTATTTTACTGAAAAATTTCAGAGGTTACATAGCAGAAAATCTTTCAGGATCTTCATTCTCACATATTGCCAGAAATAGAAGTCCTGCATTTAAATTTCTACTTGTTGAAAGAATTTAGGGCAAGACTTTTCTAGTGGAAACGATCTTCTTTCCCTACAAATCCAATCTCTTTAGTAGTCCATGAAAAGTTTATGATTAGGCTTGGTTTTTCTGTAGAGGCTTTTTCTACTCTCTGCTCCTACAGAACATACTTTTCTATTTCACTTGGCCGTCTACCTACCTACCCAGCTACCTACCTTAACTTGGTTACACCCTGAACTTGCCTTGCTGTCTCATTCCTGCATGACTTTGCACATACTTTTCCATCTTCCAGGTTTGCTCTCCCTTCCTTCCCCACACTAAGTTTGTAAATTCCTGTTATTCCTTCAGCCCTCATTAGAAGTACCGCTTCTGTGAAGCTCTTCCTCTCCAAAGCCGCTACTCTGTCTCATGTGTGCCCTCTAATTATGCCTATTATTACACCTATTGTACTCCACTGCCATTGCTAGTTTTCAAGAATGTCTCCTTGCTAGGCTATGAGAAACAAGGATGGGAATAAGTCTTATTTATCTTTAAATGACCAGTGCAGGGTACATGTTTTTTACTCAATAAATTTAACTGTTTACTTTTGAAAGATGGAATAAATGGCAAAGCAAATGAATGACTGTTTAGGGAATGGGATTTTAAACAAACCACTTGTTTAAACCCTTAAGGTTTTAATCTATCTCAGTAATCACTGGCCAAGTTAGAACCTCCTAAACCCAGTCTTGTTCATTATCCTGGTTAGTCAAACCAACATAAAGTCAGGAGTGAAACACACAAGGACGTGGACCGCTGCATGCATCACACCCAACCAGCAACAGGGAGGCCATTTATTATCTCTAAAATAAAACAAAAGACAAAGTATTTTGTTTCTCTTTTATTGCAACCCATTGCAAGGTCAAAAGATTCACGGAAATATAGAAACTACAAACTGGGTGAATTTCCTTTATCCACTCAAAAAGACATTAAAGACAAAGGACCAGAATTTTTCACTACAGCAATATATTTCATAGTCTTTATTCTGAAAATACTGTTGACATTTTGGAGAGGATACAAAGCCCTGCATTAAACGTGTTCACATATATTTATGACATTCTAAGCAAAACAAGAAACTATATTGCCCAGAAATAATTTTAAGCCTCATTTCAAAGCATCTAATGAGAACACATTCAACAACCATCACAGGATCACTCAAGGTGATGCTTTTTTTTTTTTTTTTTTTCTGGTTGTTTTTTTGAGATTAATGCTTTGAGGCTGGATATGATGTTTCTACAGATTTCTACAAATATACCAAAGCAGTTTTCCAGGTTATGTTGCATCAGGCTTTCTGGATTAGTCAACATCTTAAAGAATAAGTGCAAGTTCCCCACCCCACCCCACCCCCAAGCTAAAGCATGTTATAGTGCTGTATTTGAGATTCAAACAACGCAACATTATAAAAAAAAATCAATTTTACACTTCTGAAACCATTTGACAAGCAAACTGTAACACTCTAAAGATGACAACTTTGAACTGAAATGGCACCATCCATATCATCAATGGCTCTCCCCTTTTTTTTTTTTTAACTATTTAAAATATAGTGTGACGTATATAAAAATTAAACTTTTGCTTATTCACTCAAGCTACTATTTCTATACATACTGTCTTATAAATTAGTTTTGGATTAAAAACCAGTTAAAATATTGTGAATTAAAATATTTTTCAGTGGTGGGGAAATGAATATGAAAACGATACTATTTGATGTGCAAGACGAACTCTTTTATTAATAATAAACAGTTTTTAATCTTACACAAATTGTATTCCTTTCAAATTAAATTAGTTATCTGGTGATGGAAAAAATACCCTTGGTGCTTACTAAGTAGATTTTCTTAACTGATTGGGATTAAAAGCAAAAACAATGCCACATCAGAAACATGTTGACGTAATCAAAGGAAACAGTGTTTACAAAAAAGGAGTCTTTATAAATAAGTGAATAGTATTTGAATGTAAAGCTATATTTTGTTTCTTGCAGCTAGTATCATTTTAGCCATATTGGGGCTTACAGAAAGTGAAACTCAAACCTTAGTATATCTGTTAAAGACCAAAAAAACCCAGTTATGTCCACATTGGGGGGAGAATAAATAGCAAACTCACAAGTCAGGGTTTTGTATCTAGCTCTACTGTGAAAGATAATCACTCTTTAGCTTAAAAAGGCTCCCTGTGGTCTTGATTATAAATCTAGACACAGGCAAGTTTACTTGAGCCTGAGTCCCTACTATGAATTAATTGTAAAGATGTGTGAAATCAAAACACATATTCATTTACTTATCGATATTGTCTTAACTGAAAGCTGGCAATCTTTAAACAAAGAAATGCTTATTTCTGACAAGTGTAAACAAAATCTTAATGAAAAGACTTTCTAATTTTTTCCTCTTAACTCATACATTAACCAGCAATAGATCTTTGCAGTAGCACAAGAACTATTCAAAAATAACATGCATATATCCATAAAACCTGTTCTAAAGCTCAAAGCAAAGCAAAGAAAAAAAAAGAGAGAAAAGAAAAAAAGAAAGTAATAGGAAGATTGTCTACTTATATCTCACTCATTAATTTTCTATTCATGTGACTACCTCCAAATTTCAGAAATACATGTTCATAATTACCAAAATTAACAAAAAAATAATTAAATGATCGGTAGGGTTGTTTTTAAATAACTGCGCACTATTAATTACATTGGTGCCTTTAATGTGGAGAATGCTAAGGTTAGCTCCAAATATCATTAAAATATATCTGGACCAGTTACTATCCATGAAATAAAAGCTAACACAACGTTAACACAAAACTTCACTGAAATATTCAGGACTCAACAGAACACATTTGCAAAATAATGAATAATTAACTTTTGTGAGCTGGCCAGGGGAGTTCAGATCGTTGCCTCCATATAAAAACTTCACCGAAGGCTTAATTCTCTCTAGTCCCTACATCATCTCCAGATAGCAAGTTGACCATCTGTGGATACAGTGAGTTAGGCAGAGCCACAGTGGATGACATGTTTCCTCAGTGACCTGGAGGAACGCCCCTGTGTCAAAAATGGTCTAGAAAGAAACTGCCCTGGAATTGTGTACGCACGCACGTGTGCATGTTTATGAAGGAGTGTAAGAACGTATATATGTGTACGTGCTTGAAATTTTGCAGGGTACTGGTTTCCCGGTTTCCAATTAGTGCAACATCACTTCTGGTCTGGTGATCATCAGAAGTGCACGATTCTATCCCATCAAAAGACAAGACAGTTGCATTAATTTTGGGGCATCTTCAAGAGGCAGTAGTTAGAAGCTCAAAATAATAGACCGATGTTTTTTTGGTTCTACAGGAAGAAAAAATTTTTAGAGAAACAAGTCTTTGAACTTAAAAACTAAAAGGTGTGTGTGAATTTTGAAATTTTTAATTTTTAAGGAGAAAAAAAAGAACCCCAGCTCACCTGGGAACAAATAGCAATTGCGCTTATGCTATGCAGTATGCAAACAAGACACAAATATACACACTCGGGTACACCCGTACACGTGGAACAGTTAAAACCCTTCCAAGGGATCGCCTGCCCCAAATCTCCTGCTCCTCTCCGCCCTGCTGACTGATCCGAGTGGACCTACGTGGGAGCAGGAGTGTTAGGAGGAGGCAGCAGACATGTTGGGGGTCCAGCCCATCTGATAGGCTCTCTCCAAGGTCCTCTTGCAGTCCTGCAGCACGGTGCTGAAGGTGATGTGGGGGTACTGCTGCACCAGCTGTTCCACTGTCACTTCATTGACCTGCAACCAAAGAAGAGCCATCGTCAAGCACAGGATGGGACGGCTGAGACCGCCCACTGCCCGTGTCCTCTGACTGACGTGCTAATGGTGGTAACAGGAACTCTCACCTCATTCCCCATCAGCAATGTGAGCCAGTGTTCTGTGAGAAGGTATGTGTCCCTTTTTGCCTGACCTTCCCGATTTCCTGAGTACTACATTCACCCTCAGGGATTTTTTAAAGAAGACATAGGATATCAAGCAATCAAATGTGTTTTCTAGAAGCATAAATGATAGCGACTTGTTGAGATCTTAACAATGCCCACTGAAAAGCTAGTGCCTGGGAGGAGAGGCAGCAGGGAGATAGCATTCTAAGATGCATTTAGCTACATCATCAACCTGACAGCTTTTTTAGGACAAAACTGTAGAGTGGTAGAGAGGATCCACAGGAATCTAGATGGAAGTGTTGGGGGAAATGTTTATTTTTCTTCCCTTTAAATGTTAAGGCATTGCAAACTTCAAGTCCCTTTGTGAAAAGGGCTGAAATGTGAGGAATCAATAATTAAAACATACATGGCTGGCAGGTCAGGGATGGCCCCAATAGACCTTAACCATCAAAGATACCACCTTGATTCTTGATTAGACAAGGCAATCAGACAGGCCTAATTAAAACTAACACCTTTACAATTGCTGTGCTGTGAAGGGATTAATTCGTCAATTATTTTTAAGCTGATTGCAGTTCATATCACAGAAGTAGACAGCTTCCTTCATCCTTTAGATAAATAAATGATTAACCTAAGAACCACAACTTTTAGGTAGCTTTATTTAAAATCTTTATTGAACACTTGGGCATTTTCAAATGCATCAATATTTCATTTATACTGAGTAAGCTGGTCTGAAAGAAGGTGCTTATGATACATAATTTTGTGCTCCCTCTCCATGTCTGTCCATTCTTGAAAAAGATCAGGACCACCGAGAAATGCCTAAAACAACATCAAACCCTTGCTTTTTGCTTTGAAAGCCTGCTTAGAAGTATGACGACCATGACATTCAGTCGTCTACACTTTTCTGAGATAACATGATGTTTTCTGGGTGATTTGGAAAACTGTTATATATAATCATTTTTTTAATTGAGAATTGATATTTCAACATTGCACTGATGATACTTAATCTGTCAGAACACCTCTCTATTCAAGACTTGCTTGTATTAAATCAACTTTCACTCCAAATTCAACCAAACCATGTAGTTAATTCTTTTTGTGATAGTTATGATGTATAACACTGTTTTCAAAAACAAGAAAATCATTTAAAGTAAAAAAGAAAAACTGATATACAAATTAGAGTTGAGAATATGAATTGATGGCCTTAAGAGGATCTTATGCAACATTTTTAATTTTTTAATTTAAATTTATGATCTAAGTTTTGCTTGGGTTGAGGCAGCCTAAGACAGTACACTTAAGAAGGCCATGCACCATCTGGCTCTATGTATCTAGGTAGCGTATTTTTGATACTCCAGTCACCTGACTTAATCCCAGATGATCAAACTGTCCAAGTTCTTTCTGGCCTCAGGGTCTTTGCACATGTTATTCTCTTTACCTGGAATACTTTTTAACCCACTTCCCCCTAAAAGCCCTCTCTTCATGCCTACTTCCTACTTACTCTTCAGTTCTTAGCTTCAGTGTCATTTCCCCAATGTCATTTCACTGTCCTATCCCTGCTCCCCCCCACCCCAAATTAGGTAAGGCTTTTAGGTTATTTACTCTTCTAACATTGCCCACTTTGTCTTCATAACACTTATAAAGTTAGTTTATAATTACTTAATTTAATATCTGTTTCTCCTGTCCCAATGTACAATCCACAAGAGCCATGATCATTTTTGTACCCACAAGTCAGGCCTAGTTATTAGTGAAAGAATGATAAAAAAAAAAAAAAATACCAAAAGGCAAGTAAGAAATGGAAACTCAAGAGCAAGGCAAAACCAGACATTAAATACTAATCACACAAAGACCAATTCCCTGAGGAACTCTTATTTGGCTCAGGAATTCCCTCCTTCAAGAAGCCTTCCCGAAGCAAGCCTATCTCCCAGAAAGGTAGGGTTAGGTACCCCCTTCTCTGTGCACCTGTGGTGGGCACCCTGCATGGTTCTTTCTTTTATTTAAGCACTCTCACTGTGTAATCACTCTTTACTTGCCTATGGCTTCCACCTGCATAAGAAGAGCCTCTGGGGACCAGAGACTGTCTCTTACCTTTAAGGCTGTCAAGCTGTGTGCAACGTAGAGAAGAAAAATGGGAACTGTGGTTCATACCATGGACTTGAGAGTCAACCAGAAACAGGTTTGAACCCTCGTTTCACTTTACTTCTTTGAGATTTAGTTTCCTCAACTATACACACAGGATAAAACTACTTAAAAGTAACAGGATTGTTGTAAGGCTTAAGTGTAATGATATGCTTAACACTGTGACTGACTTAAAAAGGTCCCCAAATGGTAGCTCTTATTATTAGAGCAGGCACTTGGTAAATGGTTATTAGGTGCATGAGTTAATTAACGATACGCTAGGGTGACCGATTCTCTGTCGTGATGCTCCATATTGTTCAATTTCTGAGATATTTCAGAAGTGAACCTTGGTATCATTAGTTGTAGTGTTCAAAATAAAATAATCACAGGGTGAGAAGTAAGCTTTAAAACATACATCATACACAGGAAGAGTCTATTCTACCTTATTGGTCTCTGGAGGTGATTCCAGAACTTTCCTTAATGGAACAGTGCAGGTTTTAAATATCTACTTTCAGAAAATCCTCCCTTTTCTTTACCTGATGTTCCCCACTTTGCTGTTAGGTTACCTTCCTCCCTTCTGTCATAAACAAACCCATTAGGATGCAGGTCTCATTAAGAAAGAACTGAAGTCATTTGGTCAGACAGGATGCATGGCAAGGGGAGAAAGTCCAGACCACTCAGTATTTAAGGAACAATGACCAGGAAAACAGATAACAGAAAACCGAGAAGAGAAAACATTTAAACCCACTGTAAAGATGGGCACTGTCTTCTGTGCTGCTTCTTTTCTGATCTACATGTGGGCTTGCACAAAGTCCGATACCTAGGGATTGACAGGCAATCTGTTTTGGAGGTCCAATTTTTAAACACAGAAAAAAAAAATCTCTATGTGGTAACTGTTTTGTGGGAAGAGAGATACAATTTACCTTAAGCAAACCTGATATATAAACATAAATTTATGAAGTATATAAATTAGGGGATAATTATTCACTTTGGTAAAGGCATCCACGGTCAGGTTAACTGATTTTCTCTGCCAATATTGTATATATACTTTGATTTACCAAAATTCAATTTACCTATTTCAGTTGCCTAAAGTAAGGTATACCCATAGCTGAGAATACAGAGTATGCTAGGTCTCTGGCTTTCAAAGGTTATGGGCAAGAATAGACAGTAACTTGGTTTTGTATAGTTGAATTAAACCAGCAATCCTCTGTGGATATAATATGTCTTCTAAGTAATCTTTTTGCTAACTGTGCTCTGTAAATTCTAGAAAACAAAGCAAAGGAGAAAATGCAAATATTCCATTTTAGAGCTTTGTTGGGTAGAAGCTATTCAGGGGAAATACATGTGTTCCCACTAGGGAAGTTTCTATCTTTTACTTATAGTGTCTCCTGGCAATACAGTGTGACAAATTTTATACTAAAGTTATTTTCATTTACTCCTCAGAAGTACAAATTATGCTCACCTCTTTGTATAGAATCCATAAGCACTTTGGTGCCTTAGAGAACAAGTTCAGCGTTAGACACCAGGAGGGTCCAAAGCATTTTAAATTGTTACGCCTACATACACATTTCTGCAGACATTTTGTCATGCACAACTCCACTTGCTAGAATGAAAGGAACAATTCTCTGTTCCAACTCATAAAATGTGTGTAATATAAAAAGGGAACATAGATTAATTTTTTTACATTTCTCCATGATCCCTGGTTTTCTGTATTCAATTTCTTTTCCTCTTGCTGAAAACCATCAATGGCAACTCCTATATTACACTTGAGATTTGAAAAATGCAGCCTATCTTCCTAAAGAAATATGCAGTGGTGTCATTTGAAGAAATTACTGTGATTAAAGGAAAAAAAAAAAGTGTGTACCACAGGTTATTTTTTAAATATAAGAAAGATTGGATTTTATAGTTCTCTCCAAAGACTGCATAACCATAACATTTTCAAAATTATTATAACTCTTTTCAAGGTAGTAGCAATTTGTCTGGTATTTTAATCTATTTTGAGTTAACATCTATTAGCACTTTTTGAAAATGTGAGGTAAATTGCTATGCTAATTAAGGTAAATCATACCATAGTTTCATTCTCTTCCTGTTACTACTATGGAAGGGTGAGAAGAGACTCTTCGAGCTTCGGAGATTCAGTTCAAACAATTTCTCTAGACCATCACACTCATTCCTTCACCTTATCTATACTTTCCCCAGAAAGTTCCAGCTAAGTGCAAGCCCAAATCTGAAGTATCTCCCCAATGATACCTACCATTCAAAAAATGCTATTTCTGATAAAATTTTCAGAAAAAAACATTTATGTGAAGTGATTATTATTTCCTCTTTGTCTCATGTTTTAAAATAGGACACGTTTCTTGTGAGGGGGGAAATATTTGACACCTGAGTGTATGAAACTCACATTCATGAATATAATAAACCACTTAAAATCACTTTTTAAAAAAATCATTTTTTTTAAATGGAGAAAGTTTCCATGCAAAGGTGACCACTACTGAAAATATCAATAACATTAAAATGTATTACGCTATTGCTACACTGTATTTCTTGACAGCAAAGAGTATTTGAGTCATCTCTTTGTTTTCAGTCCTTTGCACACTGCCTGGCATATTCTCGCCCCCATTAGATTATGAGCTCATGAGATAGGAGTTTTTGTTGGTTTTGTTCACTGCCACATCTCTGGCACCTATAGAATGCCTAGCACCTAGTAACTACTCAATAAATATTTGCTGACTAAATTAATGTAGTAGT